TCTAAATACACGAGAACGACAGCTGAAGAGGCGGACGAAGGCCAGCAAAGTAGTAGCTGTTAGTGGCTGAATTCATATCTCACATAAAGCAACAGTTAAAGTAGTGAAACGGGTCTGTTGCAGTCAAATCAGAGTGTGTTTGAGCCCCGGTATGAGTAGAATGTTTGTGGGTTTATCCTGGAGACCCAGACTTGAGAGCTTTCTGCTTCAGTTTGCTTGCATTTAAAATGACAGACACGAGCTGAACCTTCGTATCACGGTGCAGTTTGGAAAGAGCAGGATGAAACTCAAACCCTCAGACGTCGTCGTGCTTCCATGCTGCGCAGCCACCAGCACAGTATCCGTGTGGAAAAGGCTGAGGGAACTAAAACCATTCTCCTTCTGTGTCTCACTTACCAGAATCCTCCCATTGAGGTGGTTAAGGTCCATCAAAAGGGATTAAAGAGATGCACACAAAAGCCAGACGTCTCTATGTACGGACTGTGCACTCACTTGATTTGTGGTATCTGACTATAAATCTGTGGTGAACTGAACGCTTGCTCTTGGCTCTGCTTGTAATGCATGGTTAGAGAGGTGAAATGTAATAAAACAAAAATTAATTCTCCTGCGAGCGCCAGGTGTAAGAGCTGCTGCACTCGCTCCCAGCTGAATAATACATTTATTCAAAGACTGTAAATTGTAAATTGTTTAGGAAGCTGCAGAGCCACATGTACAACATAAAGGAAATTAACCCCACAGTTTTGTTTGTTGACGTTTTGTTATTTTATTTATTTATTTTTCCTTAATTTACCCAGGTAGATTAACTGAGAACAGATTCTCATTTACAATAACGACCTGGCCAAGAGGCAGCACAGAGCAGAAAATACAATACATCTATAAAAAACAACACACAAACAACAATAAAAGGCTTTGAAGATAAAATACACTAAAAGCAGGTACAGGACTCGGTAAATAGTTGCTTCACCATATTTTTAAAAGAAGATAAAGGTATAAAGACACTCAGTTTGAATGTTTTTTGTAAGTGGTTCCAGTCGAGAGCTGCAGAAAACTGAAATGAAATGCGGCCAAAGACAGTACGGGCTTTGGGGAGGAGGAGGTGGATGAGGTCGCTGATGTGACGGGTGATGAGTAGTGAACGTAGGTATGCCGGAGTTTGACCTATGATAGTTTTATAAATGAACAAACACCAATGGGTTTGCCTGCGGGAGTGAAGAGAGGGCCAGTTAACCAGGCTGTACAGAGGGCAGTGGTGAGTCAGTGACAAAACGGACGGCCGTGTGGTAGATAGTGTCCAGTTTATGGAGGAGGGATTTGGATGTGGATCTATAAAGTATGTCAAAAATCAAAAGTACTGTCATTCTGACCAGGAGGTGATTAGTCGGTTTGTTAGTGACTCAAACCGACCAATCATCCATTTAAAACCGGTTTTCATGTCATTTGACGTCACAGCCGTCAATAGGCTCCAGAGATCCATCGTCCCCTGCACCTCCTTCGCTCTGCGTTTCCAGATCAACTGATTGATTTCATGAAGGAGTCAAATGGAGCTCTGAGTCTGCTTTGTGCATGAGTTCACATAACACAAGGGATAAAGTACAATCATTTTACTGCATTGATGACCAGGTTCGCTCTGAAAGACCGTCTGTGTGACCGACGTGCTGTGAATCAATTAGAGCGACATGAGCCAGACATTAACGGGGTCACATGCTGCATATGTAGGATGCCACGCCGTTCACAGCGTGCTCTGAGGTAGTTTTTGTCTGCTTTCAGCATGCAGTCCAGAAAAGAGACGAGCAGATGAGCAAGAATAAAAAAAAGGCAGTTACTAATATTCTGTATTTGAAAAGAAGAAGGAAACACTGTGCAGGCAGTCGTGCTTTTAAAAGAGCTCACGGTATTGTTTTTTAAATCAAAATTCCTTTAAATGGTGTCAGAGGTGCCTCATGGGCTGATGGCAGACTGTAGCTATTAAAAACGCTAAATCAGTATTTGTGAAATTTGCAAAAGGTGTCTGCACCACCAGGGGTCAGCACACCTGGGGGTCCGCCCTCCCCGCTGCCTGCCTTGCATTGCACCCAATCCCATTGTTGGTCCTGTAGAAGTAAATAAACAAGGTGTCCCACAAGGCTCAGTTGTGGGACCGATGCTGTTCACTCTTTATTCAAATAAGAGTGTCTCCTCTACTGGTTGTAATGTACATCTTTAACCTGACGATAGAGCTTTGTGTACTGGTGCAGATGCTGTACAATATTCTGCTGTCAAAACCCTTCAGCACAAGTTGTGGTCAGTGAACATAAATTTGTCCTCAGTGCAGATGAACTTAAACACAAGATCTTAACTGGAGCCAGAAATATTGCTCATGACAATCTGGCCGTCTCTGGGAAAAATCTCTGACTTTGGATGAATAAGAAGTCGGCTGTTAGTTATCATGTGTTCACGTCAAATAACGAGTGTCTTTCATGGTAATAAATCATGTTTCTTGCTGCATTGTGGCGAATCACTTACTGAGGCGACTTTTCCATCAGTGCAGTGACGTTGTACACAACCTGCGTGTGTCACTGGTGACTTTTGAATCCTTGGACACTGTTTATCATTTTTCCGACTGATTTATAACTCGTAGTGTTGCTCCTGGGCGACCTTTGCTTTCTGTAGGGAGTGATAGACACTGGGTTTTATTTTTTTATTAGCCCCTTACTGTTTTTTTTATGGCCTTGCATTACATAATTTCTGCCTTTTAACAGTAGGCCATCACATCCAAATGATTGTTTTACTGAACTTGGAAAATCCAGTTGTACTCACCGTGCACTTGTAACCTGAAATAACCCACAGAAGTCAGTTCAGGTTTTCCATTTCATCTTGCTATCTTTGCCTTTTAATATTATTATTGTCATTCTTTTTATCCAAGTTTCTTAGTTGCGTGCCATTGAAGAAAGAAATACCCCAGTGTACTTGGAGTTTAAATCAAGTTTGGATGAACGAGAAGAAGCTAGTTTAGAATTCTGTTCCTACACTTTCTGTATGTATTTAAAAATTAGATGCGACTCGGAGACATCAGACTGATCTTTAGTCACACAGTGTTGTTTGTGTTCAGTGTTGTCTACAGATAATATAGTAAAGTACAGGTAATGAAACCTAGTGAGTGAAATGCACTCATCTGAAAGGATATTTAGGACAATTTAATTAAAGTGGCAGCAGTTCACATTACAGCTGGCATATGTGCATCCTTCTGCAGGTAACTGGTAAAGAAACAGCCAAAGAAATCATGATAAAAACTGATCAGAAGATTTGAGGGGTTTAGCATGTTAATCATTACTTGCGATACACAACAATCTTGCCTGTGAGATATTTCCATATTGCTGTCTGTTGAAGGTATAAAGTCTTAATGCTGTTGTTACATAAGGCGTCTGGTGGTCGTAAAGCTGCACCATCACGTAGCTGAAGCTGAAGCGAAGGTTTCTAATTTGGCAGCTTCAGCTCGTCCATCCTCACAGATCCTCCTCGTATTCTTCTTACTGCGAGAAAGAAGAAAGTGAGGGGATCTAATGTCTGAATAACGTTACGGAGTTATGACGGCCTCTAGCGATCCTGCATTAAACATAGACAGTCATCCATCCATTATCTATACACCGCTTAATCCTCACTAGGGTCGCGGGGGGGCTGGAGTCTATCCCAGCTGACTCAGGGTGAAGGCAGGTTCACCTGGACAGGTAACCAGTCTATCACAGGGCTACACTTAGAGACAGACAACCAAGCACACTCACATTCACACCTACGGACAATTTAGAATCACCAATTAACCTCAGCATGTTTTTGGACTGTGGGAGGAAGCCGGAGAACCCGGAGAGAACCCACGCTGCACGGGGAGAACATGCAAACTCCACGCAGAAAGATTCCGGTGCCCCGACCGGGACGCGAACCGGCAACCTTCTTGCTGCGAGGCAACAGCGCTAACCACCTGCGCCACCCTGCAGCCATAGACAGTCCTGCTCTTTGGATTTGAAGTCCAGAACTTTTGCCTGTCCAGCTGTGATGTGTCAGCGTGGCTGCGTCACATCTGCATTCCAGCTGCGACGGGTAATGTTCTCACCCCGTGACCTCTCGGCACCGTCCTGCCTGTCAGTAAACCTTGTGTCTCAGTCATGTGTTTGGTGATGGATGATTTACACTCACCGAAAGTCACCGAAAGTACGCGTGGAAGGGCATGCTTGTGCAGGAATTCACAAATACTTAGAGTTGTGAAGGAACATGACACTTTTCAGAGGAAAGACCTCGTCAGGATCTTACAAGAACACGTGACGGAATAAATAACAATTAAAAGGTCAACGGTATGCAGTTGCAACAGAACCATTCAGCACTACGATTTCCTCTTTTATTTCACTTCCACTTGAAATTCTGATTCTCACGGAGTCGTAGTGTTTTGCAAGATCACGAATGTGGGAGGTCGGGCACCGAAGAACACGTGGCGACGGCGCCAAAGAGGCTGGTATATGAATGAAAGAACTGCTGTGGAAAGTTATTATCTTTGTCTTTGTTTGTGTTTTTTTCCATTTACACTCTCACATATTTTTCATTCACCAAACTTAGACAGTTTAACCAGAACGCTGGGTGTAAGCAACAACAACAGACAAGAAGAACAAAGATGCTGTGGCAGCGGCAGGTTAATTCATATTGTTAAAAGCCAAAAAACACGAAGCAGCATCAAAAAACTTTATTCTTTTGTGCATTTACATGTTGTTTAATGCATAGACGTGGTTGCATCAGACTGGGGCTAATTACTGATACGTGACACTACGGTCAACAAAGAGCTCTTTGTCTTCTGTGCCCTTCTCTTTTCGCTCTGTTTGTTCTGTGTTTATACCCCTCACTGCTGCTCTGGTCATTATTTACATCATGTTGTTCTTTTTTTTCTTTGTTTTTATTTAATTTTCTTCTGACCGACTGAGTCACATGGAATAATGGGAGGAGGAAAAAAGGGGAGGGAGAGATCCCACAGTTACAGTCACTAAACTATATTGCAGGAAGGAAACACCGATTGTCCGTCCTCTGTAGTTTCGCAATCTCAATCTCGTGTATTTATTACTGCCCAGTTTATTCTGCTTTCACGGTGCTTCTTCCTCAATCGGGACCAGGCAGCTCCGGGAGAAACGTCGCTCTGCTCTTCCTGCTGATAGAAAGTCACAGGTAGGTTTGTTGGTATTTAGATAATTTTTTTACATTAAACGCCGCAAAATGAGCAGCTGTTGATGACATGTTAAAGTATTATATGTATAGAAATATATATATATACATATTTTGTGTTTTATGTAATGTGTGAACGTTGCAGGACAGAAGTCGTCTGAATATTCTGAATTGTTTTTTTTTAATGTCCGATGTACTTCTATTCCGATTTTCATCATGTTGTCAGCGTTTTAAAGCCACGCTGTGTGAACAAAACTGGGCGAGGCACAAATGCACTGGTTGCTCATCTGTGTATGTGGCTCATGTTGCTCTAATTGATTTAGAGCAGACTCACAGCGAGACACAGGAAGGCTGGCGGTGGCCTTAATGGGCCTGTTTACTATGAGAAAGTCTGACTGGCGTACTGTGTAGCACTGGTTCCTTATATTTTATCACAACTGGGAGAGAACTACTCCACAGCTGTTGATTCAGTGCATGACAAAACCACAGCTTTCAAACACATACACACACACACACACACACAATGCACCACACCTCTCCCACTAAACAAATGACCCACACAATAAAATCACTTCTTGTATATTTTCACTTTATGCGACTCTGAACTTCAGCTTCTACTTTTAGCTGCAGTTAATAATTATTTTGCAGATCAAGATGTTACATGGAAAGTATGAGGCTGTATTGTAAAAATGTGACGCACTATTGCAGATTAAAGGACTGATAAAGACAATAAAAACAAAACTTTGACCTCAGATATCAGCACAATGCTCCTTATATCATGAAGTGTAACATTCATAGGGAGCAATTTGGGGGATTTTACTTTTTAAAAATGGAGCTTTTTATGCAGTATTAGTTTCACTTCAGGGCATTTATTTCTATACTATTTTATCCTGTTATTACTTAAACAATGAAATCATTTCATTACAATGTATGTGGAACAATTTGACAATAATTAAATATGATTAAGTTAATTAATTATGAGTCTCTTTGGCTTTACAGGCCACAACAATGAGTTTCAGTTCAGCTGTTCGCTCTCTGCAACTTCTCTGTTTTGGTTCACTCTCACTTCTTTCCCAGTGGTTTCTTTTTGCTGCAGCTGTTTGCAGCAAAATAAATCACTAAGATCCACCTGGACACGACCTCAAGAGCCGGTAGAGACCAAAAGTAGAGGTACAGGAAGGTGAATGCTGGACCTACATTCTTCAGGTGGTCAGAACTGTTTGGCATCACTACGGTGACAAATTCATCATTTGAACTTGAAAAGCAGAAATTAGAAAATACTAAACTGACAATGACCTTAGAGGCGTGGCTCCTGTCAGCATTATCTCTCTGTCACAAGTTAATGAGTGTACAATTGTGTGTTTTAGAAACAGGATGTGAGCGTGTGTTATAGGTAGTAAAGGCTCCCTGGAAATACTTTGCATCTACCACGTTGTGTACTTTACTTCCCCCTAGCGGTCATGAGTTTAATCAAACAAGTCCACAAATAGCATTTGATCGGACATATGTATGAAAAGCTGTTGTAAGTTTCTGAACCCTCTTTTGCTTACATTTGATGAAATCCGTTTCTCTTCTTGATGCATTTTTAGTTTAATTTTATTTTGTTAGGTGTGACATGATGCATCAATGCGTCTTCCTGTTTCCACATAGCTCGTCACATATGACTCCATTGTGTTTGTTTTACCAGCAGAAAATGACACTGAGGTAGTGAAGTATGCATGCGAAACAACCCGTGTGTATCATTTTCACACAACACTGGAAAGCCAAGACGGGTGACGTTGGCGAAGCTTTTGGGATGAAACCTTCCAAAAAGCTATGCGTTGATCAGCTCGCCAAGCTTAATCCACATCTCTCGTGTTAGGTGACGACATCTGAAGATGGAAAAAGGAAACCCGCCAGTGAACGACCCATCTCCACCCTACCCCGACCAGCCCGCCAACTACGGGGGTACAGCGCCTCCGCCAGGGATGTACCCTCAGCCGGGCTTCCCCTCTGCAGGACCTCCTCCCGCTGGATACCAGTCAGGTCTGTGGTCTCTGCTTAAATATCTGTGGCACAAAACACCAAATGTGCCGATAGAGACATATGAAGGTGTTTGGTTGATGGAGCTATCTGTTATCTGCTCACCACTGAATGGAAGGAGACGGAGATGGAAATGTGAGAAACTGAATTACCTGCTAAGCAACAGTAGGGGAGAGTGGGGCAAGACGAGCCAGTTTTTACTTGAGGTGTCTTCACAGTGGGGGCATGACAGTCATGTCTGAAAATAAAACATGCACATATACTTCAGGATGTGGGGCATCCCTGGGAATAATTGGTTTTGGGTATAAAATTAACTGTTTTTAAAATATGGCTTTCCAAAAAAAAAAAAAAAAAGTGTGGGCTCAGCTTGCAAGAGGTGAATTGAGCCTTTGGAGAAACGTGTTGGGGTAGATTGTGCCATCGATTGTGTTGAAGTAAAACTGATATAGCATTATGAGGTGTAAAATTATCAAAGGACCACAAATTCAATACTACATGGCCTCTTAAAAGTTGTATTTAAAGATAAAACGCACACTTTTAAAGACCAATTTGCTTCTATAAGGCCCACAGAGGACAAAACATTTTTACAAAACTGGGCTTCAACTCAACCTGTAAAGGCTACAACTTTAAAGGCCACTTGTGTTCAGGCCAGAGGAGTTCATACAGAACAAAACCCTGTTCAACATCAACAGCGTTTACAACTCCAAACACCTGTTTTCTTCAACAAGGCCGACGGGCTTCACATTGTCAGAACAAAATCAAAAGAATAAAATTAACTGCAGTTCTCACAGAACTGGGTCCAACACAGAACATCCCACTTGTCTGGTACATTTGAAAGATTCAAATTTTGACCAAATCCACGACCATTCTCCTCCCACAAACTAGTCACCATGCCACAGATCCACACTGCAGAGGAATATAAACTCCCCTCTGGTGCTTCCCCGGGTTTTTGAGGTGTTGGTAGTTCCCTGATCACCTTCTTTCTCTGGATGATTCCCTCATCCTTCTCCTTGAAGGTGAAAATTGCCCTGCCAGTGGCTTAACTTTGCCCCGCCAGTGGCTTAACTTTGCCCCGGCCTTCTGGCTCAGCTAACCCCACTGTGGGTACAGTGTAGCTTACCAACGCACGGACACGTGTGTGAAATTGTTTCAGATGTCTCATGAAACCATCAACATTCGAAATGTACTCTGAACAGCAAAAACCAGTTTTGTAAACTAAAACGTGCTCACCTCTTACTCCTTCTCTTCACTGGGAGAGTTTAATAGATAGATGAATAATCTCGATGAGCCAAAATGCAACAACTCCAGTGTGGAAAACCAACTTGCAGTATACAGACATGACAACTCATTAGGAAATAGATGTCGAAATACAACATCCTGTCAAAGCCCAACTCCAATGAAGCACAACAGTTGTAATGGATTTCATGTCAAGTTTCATGCAAAGGCAGCTGTGCTTTGGAAGGTGAGTTCTGGAAGCATTCATCCTTCCCTGTCTCATTGATTTCTGTGTTTCATCTGACAGGTGTTCCTTATACTACCACCAATGTCTCATCTGTTACAGGTGAGGCATTCTGAACCGAGAAAACCCTTTGTGTCTTTGCACCATTTCTCAGGCCACATGTATGTACGCTGGGGGCGACACGCTTGGTTCCCTGCCAAGCTGATCTGAAGAATAGCTCCGTTTGTCGCCTCTGTGCTCGACAAAAAAGCCATTGTTGGGTGGTTTGAGAATCGCTGACGGATGCGTAGGGGTTTCTGTTTATTTATTATGTATTGTTTGACAGATCAGAAGAGATACAGCATACAGAGATAAACTGACAACAGCTGCCTGATGCAAGAGTTGTAGTGTTTCTGCTAATGTGCCACGCCTGACTCCAGAAGGGCTTCAATGAGATAGATAGATAGATAGATAGATAGATAGATAGATAGATAGATAGATAGATAGAT